TTCATTTTTAACAAATTCTAAATATGATAACATAAAATATCTTCATGATGATCGAGATGAAATCTGATCCATTTGCAAAATATAGCGAACTCAACAGAAAAAAAACTTAAGTTCTAATATGGTTTTGCATCAAACGATGTACATGATGATTGAATATCATCTGTGTTTAAAAGATTAAGCTCAATGATGATGTTCATGAGTTCGGAAAGGGAAGATATAAGGTATAAAATAACTTGGTAAAATTCAGGGTTAGAAAGTGGGTAAACTTTATATTCTATCTAAGGTTTTACATGGAATCTGAATCTTGAATAGTATTCAAAGTTTGAGAGAATTATAAGGAAAAATTTTTTTCCATCATGATTCATTTTACAGAATTGAAATGAAATACCATGTGGAAGATGATGAAAGGTCATCTCACTGTAACAATAATCAACATGATAACAATGACGGAGAAAAAAGTTCTGAATTTCTGATGATGGGTGAAGATTAAATGTACACAATTGAATATAAATGCAATCTGGGTGATGAAAGTATATCAAGAAAAGTTCATTTTTTTCAGTCAGGGAATAGAAGGAAAAAACTTTCATGAAGAAAAATGACTTTTTTCCCCTTCTTATTCATAACTATTCATATGACTATTCACATGGTCATTAAACCTCATGAGATTGAATGGATTTCATTTCATGGGAAAGTAAATGGTAACAACAATAAGATTGACTTTTACCTTTTTCCAAATAAGTTTAAGGTGGAAATTTTTTGTCGCCATGAAAGAGAAAGAAAAATTTGAATCTGATTTCTTTAGTTCAATGAATATGAACACAACTTGGAAACAGGAAATCAGCTAAAATTTTGACTGAGAATTTATAGTCTTCATGATAATCTTTGCTCTATTTTCGGTCTCTTATTTTCTGCTTACCCGAATTTTAATTTTTGCAGATTTCATTTATTTCCTCGGATTGCTTAGCATTTACCTGGAGATTTTTTGTGTTTTTTATCTTGTTACTTGATTTATCTCTCCATCCTCATGGTATATTCAGATCAATATTTTATCTTTTCTTTGAATCTCACTTCAGTATAATGTATTATAAGCATGACAATCATGTCTTTCCAATGAGTAGTCTGTGTATTTTTCTGGTGTGTTGTTGTTTGTACATTTACTTTGTATCGTTTATATTGAATTCATTATAATACAAATCAATTGGACAAAGTGACATCTCTACAGTTGAAGTTATTTGGTTAAAGATGTTGTTATTACAATTTCTTTTCGCGAAGATGAGGATGAAAAAGTATGTACAAGTGGAATAGAGTTGAATGAAGAGGTGGGAGGGAGGTAGAAACGTCAATAGTTGGTCATCCATTAGGTTAAAGGCTATTCCTTTGAGGGTATTCATCCTTTTCTCTTCGTTTTTTTTGTTTCTTTCTTTACATCTTCATTCCTTTCTCTTCCTCGCCTTGACCACGTCTTTCACTATCACCACCTTATCTCCATCTTTCCACCCAAAAAGAGAGAAAGAGAGAAATCTATTCAATTGACTAGTTAGTTGTTTATCTCTCGCTCTAACTCTCTCTCATCTTGAAACTTTTCCTATTCATTGGAAGTATCATTTTCATCAATGTCTTTATCCACCATCCAATTGACTTACAACACAACGGTGATTAATTGCTGATCTCAATTACAATGGACAAATAAATTGCAAGCAATCAATTGATTGTTTTGTCCTCCTAATGAAAATAAGAATCGCGATAAAGTGAAAGTTTTTCAATTCCATTCCATTAGATTGTAAAATATTGAAATCATTGTGTATGTTTGGTTTGGTACGGTTATATTGATAAATTACCCTTTAATTATTTAGCTTAGTTGTATTGATATTTTGACTGAAAAATTTTGAGTTAATCAGTAGATAAAAGCAAACTAATTGCAATCGCTAAGAATATCATGTAAATTAATCAATTGATTATAAACTTAGATCAGTGACAATCAATAAGAAACCAATTTTCCTAATGATGGAAAACAATTAATTGCCATTGATTATACATTAATTGTATGTGCCTTATGTTAGAGGCGTAATTAAAACCAATTCATTGTTAATGATGATTGACCAGTCGTTTGGTGGTCAATCACAATTATCTAAATGTCCAAGATGCTGATTAAAGTTAAGCCACAATTTTGTGGTCATTATTTTTCATTCACAATCACAGATAAGTAAAGGAAAGTCTAAGAGAGAAGGAAAACTTTTTGAAACTTTTTCTCAATTCGATCGATTCTTATTTCGAGCTCTATCAGATGGATTGTTTTTTTGAGTCTTTCATTTGAAGTTAATTGTCACAATTTAATCAATTTCTTCTTTGATAAATGAGATGACTTGTTAATTGTTTGACAATGAAGAAGAAGAATGAGAAAATTAGAGTGAAAAGTTTGATAACATTGAAAGAACAGGAAGTAAAAGGAACCAAAGAAAATAAAAGTTCTATGTGATCTGATCGATGAGGAACGATCGTGAAAGAATGATAAGTGTATGAATATTAAATATGATGAACTAACCTCAGAATTCATGGGACAAGATAATCAAAGTGTCTAAACAGATAACGAGCCATTCGAATGTGGCTCTTGGAGCGGAAAATTTTGCCACTTTCGAACTTTCAAAATATTCTCTTTTTCTTTTTTTAATTTCTTTCCAATTCCAACGGAAAAAGAGAGAGAGAGAGAAAGATGAAAGATGAAGATGATGATAGTTTGGAATTGAAGACGATTCTTTTTATCTCTGAGACACTTAAAGAATTATTCAGTTGAACGAATTCATTTATGGTTCAAATGTTCTTTGTGAATTTCTTACACTTACTTTGAACCTTTCGCTTCCTCCCGATTCCTCCTCTTTTCTCTTATACTTTAGAATTCAGTTCAATTCTCATGATGATGAATAATATGATAAAAGAAAATCAAATCTTTCTTTTTTCTTTGACAATATTCTATCATCATCATCATCACGGTTATCATGATATTTATGTGAATAAAAGCTATTCCATTTTTTGGCCTATCGAACGATAAATCTTATGAACTTAACTGAACCGGAAATGTTTTCTCACTCGATTTTCTTTTGTTTTTCCTTGCTTCCTGTTGGGTGTTAAGCATCAGTTTTATATTCAATTTCAATTATTCTGATATTCAATTGAACATCGTGAACATAACATACTCATGATTTCTCATTGTAAAAAAATTATCATGTAAACTTGTAGGGATTTATAATGATTGTTAGGGATTTCCAACAATTCCATTTACAGATTTATATGTTTAGCACTTGAATTAAAATCTAAAGATAATCTTCGGGTTATTTTGTATAATTGATGTTTTTTTCATTCCAGATAGAATAGATTGGAAATTGTGATTTCATTTCTCTCCATGGTGATCATGTAAATTGTTAAGCTAATTACGAGTTAATTGTTTTTCTCCAATCCAATGGATTCTTATCCTTTCATGAGTTAATCCTCAGTTTTCATCAGTATGGATTAACTGAATGAAATTTTCGCTAATTCATTTCATTTAGACCAGAGTTTTATTCTAGTGAACTTTCTCAGGTCTTTATTTTTCTGTATCAGAACTTTTTTAATGAAAATTTTTCTATTTCTAACTAAATATTGACACTTAATGTATTGAGGATTGATTTAAATACATTTCATGGAAAAACTCATGAATATTCACCGAAATTAGAATTTTTTTCAATTTCTTATTTCAAATTCAATGGCAAACTATCTGAATGAAATTCGATAGAAAAAAAAGTTCTGATGAACTGAATTCAGCCCTGAAGATGCACTTATCTCATCATGTAATGAACTTAATTATTTTATTTTTTTTATAATGATTCAGAAATGATTTGCACATTAATCCTGGAGTGATTAGTTAATCAGATCAACTGATAGGTCAAAGTAATTAATTTTATTCATCAGAATATTTTATCTAAATCAATGAATAAGTTTCAAACGATAATTAATTGAATTTCTAATTGATCAACAAGAAAAGCTCAAATTATGAAGCTACGATCGAATTCATAGTTCATTTGATTATTATATGGAAATGAAGTAAAATTAACTCTAAATTTAACTTTCTAAGGATCTTACAAGTTCATCATGATAAGTATCAAGAGTTGAAATGAACTTTTTTTCGTCCTACGCTGAGTTTTCATTAGATTTCTGTCTCTTTTTTGTTGATGAAATTCCTGAATTCAAGCAAACAAGCAAAGTTGTTAGTTAGTTAACAATCAACATGGCTTAAAGTTGGTTTAAAATGTAATGATTAAGCTTATGCTTTATAATAATCATCATGATCGTTTTCAGAGTCATGTTTAAATTCATGATAGTCATCACAGCATTTTCATGGATATAAAACATTTTCCCACCTACTACTACTACTACTCTCTCTCTCTCTCTCTCTCTCTCTCTCTCTCTCTCTCTCTCTCTCTCTCTCTCTATCATTATCATCAATAAAAAATGTCTCTCGGTAAATTACATCTCAAGAGGACAATTTAAATAACTGTCAGTGAAATGAGTTCACAATTTAATTGGATTTAAATTCAACCTTTTTTTGATCATCGTCATGAAATTTCATGAACTCAGAGAGGATATGATATGATAAGAAGGGGAAGTTGAATATTGAGCTGCTTGTTTTATTGAGATTGAAATTCTGTAAAGTGTGTATGTTAGCTCATGGTGTTTGCATGATAATATAATTGTCACTTTAATATTTCTCAATTTCAAGTCTTACATTATTTTAGACATTTGGATTAAGAGATTGGAGATTAACTTGAATTTGGGGATTAGTTAAAAGTGAAAATTAATCACCATTGATTGAGTCAATCAAAGTTGATTGATATGATTAAATTGGTGATTGTCTAATTTAGATATTTCCTTAACATCATTTGAAATTTGATCCAGAATTTGTTCAAAATGATGATGAATTGAAAATCGTTCAAATTTCAACTTTTTTGTTTACCTTTGTATTTTTTCAGGGCTTTTTCATCGAGCCATCATGCATAGTGGAACTGGATTATCTCCTTGGGCTATGGCTTCAGATGCAGTTGATTATTCAAGGAGACTCGCAGTTCAAGTGGGCTGTTTACCTTTGGGGGGTCAGGGTGATAATTACCATCAGTCTGGAGGGAATGATAATCTTCATAATGTTGATTATGGTTCACAAATGATTGATTGTTTACGAGGCAAAGACTTTCGTGATTTAATCCTGTCCGATATTCCAGTTCCCTCTCAACTGACCAGTCTTGGTCCAACGATAGACGGCATTGTGATACCAGATATTCCTGGAAATTTAATGAATTCTGCTCAATATAATCAACTTTTCGGTAATATCGATCTTCTAATTGGAACAACCAGTCGGGAATATTTTAAATTTACTGGGAATGAAGAATCAAGTGGAATCGAACCAGAAAAACAGAATAAAATAGTTCGAACCTTGGTTCGTAATCTGTATAATTTTCATCTCCAGGTAATATTGAAAAAAAAGATAAAACAAATTAATCGATCAGCCGAAAAAACTTTGGAAAAAAATTCTAAACAATCTTTTTTTCTAATAGGAAATATTTCATACAATTTTCAATGAATACACTGATTGGACCAAATATGAACACACCCTGAAGGACAATCTTCAAGCAACAAGTGATATAATTAGTGATGGAACTGTAATATCCCAAGCCATTAAAGTCGCTCAACTACATTCAAAATTATCTTCATCCTCAGCTCATACCACTTATTTATATACATTTGAATATTCAACCAAAAGGAGATTATCATTCATCTGAAGGTTGTGTTCATGGTGAAGATTTGGCTTATATTTTTGGTTCGCCTTTAATTGACCCAACGATGAGTTTGGGATATTTTATTTCTGATTATACTCCAGAGGAAACTGAGCTATCAGCTCGTTTAATCACCTATTGGACCAATTTTGTCAGAACTGGGTGAGTTTATCTTTCAGCTCAAGTTTCAAAATTTCAATGATGATGATTTTTATTACCATGTAATCAGCATTATCTTTGGTGCAATTTACCTTAATCTTAATCCTCTTCATCTTAATTCCTTCGATTTTCATCCTATTATCAGACGAGTTGATGATTCCCGTTCAACAAGTAAAAGTGATTATAATCATGGTGATAATCATGGTGATAATGGATATGAATCAAAACCATCATCTCTGAAAGAAATCATTTCATGGCCTCAATATGATGAACGAAGTCAAAAATATCTATCAATAAGTAATCATCATAAAATCTCATGAGAATCAAATCATTATCATCACAATCAGAATCGTTTCTTTTTTGCCCTGAATTGGGTCCCTTTCTCAATTCTGACTAAATATTACTTATTATTTTCCTTTCGGTTGTTATTTTCTTGTTTACTACCTTTTCTTACATTAGATACATGTATATATTGCCTTAAACCATGAGAACACCGAGTTGAGAATACAGAATTTTCCCTCAAAAAAAGGGAAGAAACTTTTTTATTTCTCTATTAGAAAAGCAAGGGAAAAAGTTCTTATTCCTTTACTCTTCCTACGATTGTCTATTAACATGTTCAGAACTTTTATTTTTCCCTGAATAATCTTTTGATCCTTCATCTGATTGTTGATCCCTTGCAACCATCAACAACAATCAACTTAATTGCAATAACTCTAATCATGAAAAGAAAATAAACAAAAAATTCTGTCTCCACTTAAGTTTTCATTCACCATCACCACCATGACCCAAGACTTAATCTTACGAATTTTTTTTTTCGATTTTCAATCAATTCTTTTAGAAAATAGCAAAAACTAATCCGTTATGATGATGATGATGATGATGATGATAACCATAGATGATAAGTTACTCTAATCGTTGGAGTTTTTTGTTCTCTCTTTGCTTTGTCTTGTTAGATTTAGAACCAATAGTTAAGGACCATTACCGAGCTCATCAGCTGAGTGTTTGGCTGAATTTAATTCCAAAAATTCATCTACCTGGACCTGGACCATTAACCTACCAGCATCATCTTTTAACTGACCATGATGACCTATCAACCTATGATGGTTTTGTGAGGTCAACGGCAAGTTTTGCTCAAGCAATGATGAGAGGGTTAACATCATCTCCATCATCTAGTGGTCATCTATCAATTGAAGGATCACCTTTAGATACTTTAAGTAATAATAATCATTATCTATCTCAAAGTCATGGATCAGATAATGATCATCGAAATCAACTCACCTCATCTTGGCCTGGATCAACTCAAATATACGGAACCGGATCTAGTTTAATGGCTACAAGTCCAGTATCTGTGATAAATAATACAAATAGTCATGATAATAGTAACCCTAACAATCAACCAAATAATAGTAATCTACCATTTTCTCAGCAACAGCAATTTAGTGATCAACAGAAAGTTAAATCAATGTTACCTCAGTCAACGTCCAGATTATCAAATGGATTGAAACAGATTAAGGATGAATCATCATCATCTCAATCGTCATCATCTTCATGGGAAGATTCATTTCATTTTAAATGGAATGGTCCATATTCAACAGCCTTAAGTGTAACGATTGCCATTGGATTTACATTTTTAATCCTCAACGGGTTAATATTAGCTGCCTTTTTTTATAAAAGAGGTAGACCCAGTCAACTAACTCAAAGTGTTAATGATTCATCAACAATTAATGATAAATCAAGGGTAATTATCATGTAGCTTTCATGAAATTTTATCAATATAATATCAAATCAAACAAATTCACCAAATGATAAATTATCGTCTTTACAGTATCTTGTACAAAAACTGACGGAACAAAATTCCGCTTCATTTTCAAATCAGGACGACAAACGTTACTGTGAGTTTTTGTGCGACATACTGTACACTCTGCGTTTAAATGTTGACAGAGTACTAGTAATACAGTAGCGGCAGTGACTTTGTGCACGTGTAGGATGTAAGAAATAGACCTCGAGAAAGTGATTGAAAGAGAGTAAGCAATGAGAGTGAGTAAATTGACAACTTATGACAGTTCACCAATGCGAGTGACATAAACCTCTAAAATGAAAAGGAAGTGGGGGAAAAATGAATCAATTTGATCAAGAGGATTTTTATTAATCCATTCAGGATCATTTTTCAGCCAATTCTACTTCTTGAGTCACCCAGAAGCGGAGGTTTATATAATACTTCACCTCGAAGCACCAAACTGGTGCTTTTGGTAGGTTTGAGAGTCAATCCAGAATGAAGCTAAGCTAATTTTGTCAGAAAAATCATGTAAACAATAATCTAATTAGAAGTATTGAATGGGGCCCCAATCAACAGAGTTGACTCTTTATGGATTCAAAAAGTGGGTCATATGGGTCATATTGACGCCATGTAGACTCAAAGAATTTTGAATCGTTTTGACTCTTTTTTGACTCACTTTGATTCCGAAATTAATAGTATAATTTTGAAGCAAATCTATTCAAAAAGTCAACGAATCCTAATAAATTTATTGACAAAGATCGTAGATTAATAAGAAAAGATATCCAATTCGGATTATAATTAAATTGAATGTAGAACATCATGAAACAATAATCAAATACAAGAGAATCTACATTGTTACATGTCATTTGATTTTATTGAAAGAATCATTGATATTTATGAAACTAATTATTGAAAAGATTCCATTATAAATAATCGTATATTCATTTTTTTTCTAAAAATCGTCATCTTCTGCATCAGAATCGCTCAAAGAAAAATTTGAATTTCCATTATCCATGATTGTTGATCCAAGCTCTAATACGCCGTTAGAATCTTCGTCTTGTATCTTTGATTTATTATAGTCAGTGTTCAAGGAACAAAGTACTTTAATTATTCTTGATCTGACTTTGAAATGGAACTTCTCAGAATATCGCAAAATACCAGATTTTCTAAATACATGATCTAAATTCAAATGAAGAAAAATGGTAAATAAAAGAACTGAACACCTAATTGCTTCTACAATGAAAACTCACTTATAAAGGCTTGAACTCTTTTTTGGCCCAATGTATAATCAAAAGTACCAACTAGTCTTGAATTATAAGGATTCTTGAATCCCCAAATATATGACAATGGATACTTGATTTGTGGTTTCTTTTTCTTTTCTTCAATAAGCTTTTCAATATCCCTTTTTGTCATAGTCTTTTTTCCCAATGTAACATCATGATAATAAGACTCAGGAAAACAGAAACGGACTATTTGGTATGCAAAAGATCCTGGATCACCAATGGTTGATTTTTTGAGAGCCATCTCATATTGATCTAAATCAAATTGAACCGAACCTTCAACAAAAATCATGTTCTTCAGAATTTAAGAGAGCGGAAATGAAGAAAATATCGATATTAGATAATAGAATTTTGAATTAATTTAACGGTTACCTGTGAGCTTATTCTATAAGTCTCATCCTCATCGGGCACATGGTTAGCTAATTCATCTTCTTTTCTTTCATTTTCATTAATAAATGTATATATACTCTTTAAAGCTTTAATTACCAAGATAACAGTTGATCCAGTAGTATCAAGATCAGATAGAAAAATCTTCCTTCTTTCAAGCTCTTTGAGTAATTCATCCAATTCTTTCATATTTGAATCAGTCGTTACTAAATCAATAGATGCTGTGTCCGCGCCTGGTGTAACTTTGTCAAGACTACGTGAAGATCTTGATTCGATGGTCCTTTTATCAGATTGGCTTTCCTGATTTGGTGTAAACTCAACAGTTTTAGTTTTCTGATTAGAAGGAACTTTATTTTCAACAGATATTCCATCCACTCTTAAATCTTTAGAAACATGATCAAATATCTTCTCTAAAGTTCTCGGACCTAATACACGTTTATCAGGAGAATCATCCTCTGAATCCAATGGCTTATGTTCCAAAACAGTTGTTGATTCCAGTAGCTTTATCACTTTAGAGTTAAAACTCCAACCACTGTTTCTTTTTAGATTCTGCTTTAGACAGAGTCTCACCATAGATATTGAGTCTGAGAAAACGGAAATTAGATTTTTATTTCAACACAATTTTGATTCACTCACCTCCACATGCCAAAATTTGACAAACAAGATCTTCGGACTTTAGAAATATCTTGAAATAATTTCTTTGCTTATCGAGATAATCATCAAAAGGAAGAGAGAATCCAAAATCCTCAAGCTGAGATTCTTTAATCTTAACAAGTAACGGCTGCGAATAAGGTGAATGATCTTTATCTAGAATGAGAGGCAAAATAACTGCAAAAATCAAACCATCACTCAGCTCTGTTGAATTGTAGGTGTTTGATTCTTCAACTAGATTTTTCATTCGTTTGGAGCTGCTTGTTGCACTTGGTTCTGTTGATTGTATCACTCTTTTTGTGGGAATATCATCACTTTGAATCTGAGCTGGATCATTATTCGTAGATCGATTTGATGAACGTAACACAGGTTGACTTGATCTTTTATCTTTTAAACTATTGGGTCCAAACACTTTCGAGGCAATAGGCTGAGAACAACTTTTTAAATTATCAAAAATACTCACACTTTTCTTCTTGGCACATTTTAAATTACTCTGAGTTGACATGATTGGAAAAATGACTTAGTCACAACTAATTGAGTAGAATGAATGATCAATTATCTTGTTGCAAAGACTTTTTATTTGAAATGAGAAACAGAAAAATTTTGGAAATGTGTAATTGAAAGTAATAAATACTAAATTGATTGGTTGGTTTCAGAAGAAAAAAAAATGAAAATAATTTGATTTGAGATTCTAATTAGAAAGGTATTTCAATCACAATTGTGATTGGCTTTCACCTTTAGATTTATCCTCTTGAGGATTAAACATTTAAATTTGTGTTTTTATGTAAACAATTTTCTATGGAAACAATTTTTTTAGAAGCGGAAACGGAATTGATCAAAGATGATGAAAAAAAGATTATTTTTTGAATTTTTTCATCATTTCACTGAAAGCTTTTTCTGTTAAGTAGCCAGAACTGAAGAGATGTTTAAGCTGCTCTTCAGAAAAATTGACAAATGGATTTTCTGTCGACTCACTTTTCGAAGATGAAATATCTTGATTATCATCACTTTCTCTTCCAGTATCTTTGACCATGGAAACAACCTCAGTATTAACACTATTCTTGGTAATTTGAGTACTTTGAGCTTCTTCATAGTCACTTCCATCGTCCTCGTCATCACAATCATTTTCTTCGTTGTCATCTTGTTCGAGCTTCTCTTCTTCTTCATGATCCATTTCCGAAGCACTGGTGTTACCCCCTTTTTCAGTTGTGACCGCACTAACAGTTGATTCATTAGCTTCAAGTGTTTGATCCATGTTTTTATTAACAATAGGATATGATAGATCAATCTCAGCTTGAGGTTCTTCTGTATAAGATTCAATAATCGTTTTCGAACTTTTCGAAGACGATGGCTCGTCAGACTCGGTTTCTTGAATTTTTCTTTTCAATTTTGTCATTTGATTGACTGTGCGCATTTCTTGTTCACTGTCACAATATCCAGATTCACTGAGGTGAGAAAGATCTTGAGGTAAAGATGGTTCCTTTATCGGAGTCGAAGTTAGTTGGACAACAGGTTGAGTCATTGGGTAGGCTGGTTGTTCCAGATTCGATTCATTAGAAATGACAGTATTTGATTTTCGATTCGACTCACTGAAACTACTTCGTGAACCACCAGAAAAACATGGGATTGATGCAACAACTGATGAACTTGTTGTTGGATGAGACAAGACGTTTGAATCAGGATTAGATTCAGGGTCGATTCCTCTCATCTTCTCGAGATTATCAAAGATCTGTTCATCCTCAGAGTGTTTTTCATCTGACGATGTGTAAATCTTACGTCGAGATTTTCTTGTTTGTGGTTGATGCCAATCATCGTCATCATCACCTGAACTACCACTATAATCACTTTCTGATTCTATGTAATGAGCTCCATGATTCTTGATCGATTCAATTGTAACCACCTCAGATGCTAACTTAGTACGTCGATAGTGCATAGATTTTGACAATGATGTTACCAAAAGCTTCTCTGTAGATGTATCGTAGCTTGTTCTCCCACAAGCTCTCATAACATGATCTATAAGAAAATTAAAGTTAATAGATCAAGATTCTAGATTTCGTTTTTACTTACCAATCAAAGCTTTAAATCGAAGCTCTCCCAGACCCGTCTCGATAGGACCTGATACTGGATTAGTTAGTGGGAATTTATTGTTCCAAAGCGTTATCAGCGATTTTCTCCCGCCTGATCCACGAAGTGTAACATCGGAGATCCAATGAGTGGGGAAGCAAAAACGAACAATGAGAGTTAGGACAGCGGCTGGATCACGATCCTCCATTTTCTTTCCGAATAACTTCGTAACTCTTTTATATTTAGCACCGATTAGTGGCAGAATACCCTCTAACATGATCTTGTTTCCATCTTCAAAGGTTTTGTCAACTGGTACAATATTAGTGTAAGCAGTAGGCTCAGGTTTTGAATCATTATCGATCACTGAGCATTCTGGAAGTTTCAATTCGTTGAATAAATTGAGAAATGATTCGAGAACTTTTATAAGTTCCTTGAAATATTTTCCATGTCTGTCTAAACAAGAAATCGAAGAAACAAGAACCTTGAAATTCTCTAAATTGTTACGAATTTCGCTGAGTTTACTCTTGATCGTAGCTTCATCAGTACCAGGATCAACAGCTACGTTTTCAGACTCGACTT